ACGTTGGTAACGGTAGATTGTGGAGAACTCGGCTTATTTACAACAGACAATTAGACTGATGTATGGTCCCATGGATGGAAGGACAGAAACACATACGCTCTAACAAAATCGTAACATAATATTCGCTGCCTTAAGGCGAGTATATAAAATCTTTAGTGTCTACATTGACAAAGTTTTTATGTCACATTGATCTAATGTCATAGAGACAAAGTTGAATGTCACAGAATGAATTGTCTTAGTTTCATAACGATTTATTCTATGTGTTTTAAAGTTTTGATGATAATTATGTTATCAAATGAAACGGCAAGACTGAGAAATGGAATAATGCATATTTCTATGTTTATCCGTATAATAATGAAAATGGCAGTATTTCAATATCACGTATATTAAATTTGAAAAGAAGTATTGGCAGATAAAAAGATGAAGTCTTAAATATACATCTTACAAAAAGAGAAAATGCAAAATGGAATAATACATAATAGAATATACAGCATATACTAAAAAACATTCATGAATAATATTTTGGCAGTAATTACCAATGCATACATTCAAATGGCAGCTAGAGGTGTGGTATATAAATATTTGAATAGTTCCAGGTAAAACCTAATTTGCTAATATTTATATACTGTTTTATTCAGTCAGTGTTTGCATCTCTCTCTCTCTCTCTCTCTCTCTCTCTCTCTCTCTCTCTCTCTCTCTCTCTCTCTCTCTCTCTCTCTCTCACACACACACACACACACACACACACATACATACATACATACATACATACATACATACATACATACATACATACATACATACATACATACATACATACATACATACATACATACATACACACACGAACGAACACACATCAGAAAGAGAACAAATATTATTCTTAATGCAAATCGTGGATACCTAACAAAGACTTTCATGGGTTTGGTGAGGGTTGAAAACTAGATACCGTCTGTATTCACTAATAAGTTACGTCCAACTGCTAATAACATAATGCACAGCCAGATCAGCGTTTATGTCGTTTCTTTTATTGCTTACTGTCAAAACACTGCATAGACTCCTATCTTGTGTCGCATACGACTATTCAATTTGCTGCTGGACGAGTCTTATATGAGAGTACATAAGATTATTTCAATGTTAATCTGGGATGATGACAAGGGAAGAAAATCGTTACATACGATTACGTGAAATACTAGTCATCTTTCATAATAAATGATATAGTTGAAATAAAGGTCTGACATTGAATGGATCAGGTGTAAATCAAACCCCTTTTTGTCAGATCTACATGCAAATATGCATGGCGATTAAATTTGCTTCCCGTAAGTTGCATATTTGAACATGTTCAATAGGTTACAGACTTGCTTCATAGCTTAGAATTGGCTATCATGGTGTATCCCTATGCGAGACTTTACACCCCAATCGCCTCATTAATTCTTTCTTGGAATTCATTGATTTGCTAATTATAATAAAGATATCTAAAGATGAAAAGACGAACTGACGCACGAATGGATGAATTGATATTGAACAAAAGCGGTATGTCCTTGCTGACAATTAGCGATCCTTTCTTTTAAAAAGTGACCTTGGGCCACCCATTGAGAATAACATGGAAATGTGGAGGTGAATAGAAGATTTTCATGTCCTCTTTCCACATGCACATGGCCCAGCAACTGACCCGAAAACTGGCAATGTTTCATAACAGCTGACAAACCTTTCAACTACTCCTTCACCATCGAGAAATGATTAAAAAAAAAACAATGTCACTCAGCAACGTCTTTAAAATGTTTTAAGCAATAAAAATTTGTATTCTACATTTCGTTATAACATGTTGAACATATATGTGGGAGAACTATTATATCGCCACAGCGGGGATACCCCTTTTGTCGTCACATTGGCAATATTACTTTTGGAATTTCTTTCTTTTTCCATTAGGAAGTATACCTGTCCTTATGCTTGTGTTCCGGCCTGCATTGCCATACTTATGACTTCTCTCTCTCTCTCTCTCTCTCTCTCTCTCTCTCTCTCTCTCTCTCTCTCTCTCTCTCTCTCTCTCTCTCTCTCTCTCTCTCTCTCTCTCTCAACACATTTTAAATTTTAAAATGTGTCAACACTGTTGACCTATTTTATGCACTTATGTCATCAATAAAGAAGCGCCGTCGACAGTCAGTGTATAAATATGAACGGTGAACCTCAAACAAGAAATAGCAGATTTCAAGTATTAACCTTTTAGTAGTTAGTTTTCCACAGGATGTTTGCAGTCTAGCAGTGACTGAACGGAGATGACCCGTTGCTATTCGATCGTCTCTGTCAGCCATACTTATAATGCATGTTATACTTAAGGACAACATATACATATTTTGTAACTATAAAATTATCTTGATTGCAAAGGGAAATACAATTTTTAAGAAGCTATTTTAACTATAACCACAATATTAAGTATGCTTGACCATGATGGACATATCAGACATTGAAAAAAGCGACATTCGAGATTTTGTATATTGTCTGTTAACGGTATAGTTTGCACAACCTGCCAGCACACAAAAATGCACGTTTGAGAGCAGCAATAGAACTATACACGACCCCAATCCTTTCAAGTACACTCACAATCATTAAAACATGATGTATAATGATGTCACAATATGAATTTTGGGAGCCTTCTTTCACGTTATTCAAGTTCCCTACCTAATGCTGTTTGAAATGTTCACCATATTCCATGGACGAAGGAAACGTGTTAAGGAAAAACAAAAGCTCTTTATCCCAAACAAGAACATTAATTTTCCAAAATGCACAATCTGAAACATTGCATACAGAGTCTGAAGCATTGCATGTACAGTCTGAAGCATTGTATGTACATTCTGAACTATTGCATGTACAATCTGAAGCAATGCATGTACAGTCTAAATTTGTCATAAGTCTCAGTCCTGAAATTGCTGTAAAATTCACCAAATTGTAGACTCGAACCCCGGCAGATAGAGGTGAGATGGCAATAATCCGTAACTGAAAGAGCTTTAGACCACTCGGCCACTCGTGGCTTCTTTGAGAAATACGTGCGAATGGATGGCTTTTGCCTAATTTAATATAAATAATACTATCATACACGTTACATAATTTTAATTCGGACTTGGCAGAGTTTCGAATCATCGAGGTCCACGAGTAAACAACTATATATAGTTCGAACACAGGTCCGCGAGTAAATGGCACCCATCGCTTTGCCTGCACGCACCAACTCATATACGGTCTCGACTAAGCACGCATCACCAAAAAATGATAGCACTAAATCGTTGTTATATAACCTCGTGCGTAGCAGACACACTCGCATGACGACCTAGTTCTGTCTGGTATATATTTATAATTCTTTGTAAAACAAAAATCCTATATACCTTGATTTCTTTCATAGGATCTGGAACGACTATGTGTATGTATGAGAACTAACTACTAGGTTTTCATGCGAGTGTGTCTGCTACGCACGAGCTTATATAACAACGATTTAGTGCCATCATTTTTTGGGTGATGCGTGCTTAGTCGTGACGGTATATGGGTTGGTGCGTGCAGGCAAGGCGATGGGTGCCATTTACTCGCGGACCTGGGTTCGAAACTCGGTAGAGTACGAATTTAATTTCTCTAACCTGTATGATAGTATTGTTTGCATTAAACTATTATTTCTGCCCACTATTATCAAGATTCTACTACAGAATCCAGGGATAGCACAGTCTGTTCTGTCTGGTATATATATATATATATATATATATATATATATATATATATATATATATATATATATATATATATATATATATATATATATAAGAGAGAGAATTAATTGCTAAGAAGTCATGCGAGTGTCTGCTACGCACGAGTTCATATAACACCGATTCAGTGCCATTATTTTAAGGTGATGCGTGCATAGCCGTGACGGGATATGGGCTGGTGAGTGCAGGCAAAGCGATGGGTGCCGTTTACTCACAGACCTGGGTTCGAAACTCCGTAGAATAAGAATTAAAATTATTTAATCTGCATAATAGTATTATTTGTTTTAAATTATTAATTATACCTACTATTATCAAGCGATCTTCTAGAGAATCTGTTCTGCTTGATATCATGTATATATATATATATATATATATATATATATATATATATATATATATATATATATATATATATATATATATATAACACATACTTTACTGGTACATTTGACTTTGCCATTCGTGACAATACAATATTTCATTTCAAGCATGAAATGTCCTTTTCTTGACTCAGAAAATTGCAGATGTCTTTATATGTACTTTTACCATGATATTTATAATCTCTACTTGAAGCAGAACAGCTATTTATAAACTAACGAGAGAATTTTCAAAAATCTAATCTGAATTTAGTTGCTCTGCTTAAATCAATGTCTACAAACTACACACCAATATGCAATAGCTATCAGATACAGTAGATGCAATCAAATAAAGACTTGTTAGCTAAGTTCTCTAATTAGATGTTCTCACGATCTTTGAAATCTCGCTTCACTTAGTTTAAGCAATGTGTAAAATAAACGACAAGCCAAAAACACTTGCTTTTCATATTCGAGTATTCAAGTTAGAGACAAATATGTTCCCTATTATAATTATCACTTTTAATATTGTGAACGTTGTAATTCAATTAGTTAATCAAAAGGTCAATAGAAGAAGACCTCTTATCTGTTTCAGTCAGATCTCAGTTATATTGCAGATAGGGTTCCGCTATAAATCTAAAATCCATTTGAAAACTAAAGTGTGATGTGATTATGATTTGTAAAGTAGCTTTAACTTTTCTTCAGTTATATCGCTACTATGTCTGCAGTGTGGCGGTTTATAGCAATGTCGAGTACTGGAACATCATGCCGCAAACATGGAGCATCATGTCAACCGAGTCACATTATCCTGACACCAGGCCGAACAGTCTTAACACTAACCTCTTAATGCTGATCGCCAAGCAAGGCAGCTGTTAGTACCACTTTTAAAGTCTTTGGTATGCTTCGACCGGGTGACCGGGGATCGAACCCACGATATATCGCATCTGAGGCGGAAGCTTTAACCACCAGGTGAGCCATGAAAATCATTCATTTTGTAAATAAAGTGAGTGAGTTTCCTATTTCAGCCTATAATCTTAAACTCAAGTAATTGTCATTTAGTTGTCGTCTGATTTATGTTTTTCTCATCATTTTGAGTCATTTTCCTGTGATATTTGTTTTACTGTACAGTTTAGACGTGTTGATCTGGCATTTTTATCATATTACTGTCCGCGCATGCGTGATGAATTCAAATTCGAGGTTGATACAGACGTATACGTATATTTTTTGAACAGATATGGTTTGCTACTAAAAAGGTGAGTGTTCTGAACGATTTCTTGACATGAATTATGCTTACCACACGCATACAAATGTCAGTACAGTGCCGGAATACCAAATAGGCAGAGTAGGCACCAGCTTAGGTCCCCACGCCTTTTAGGTTCCCACGACAACGGATAAAAATAATATTGAATTAATACGATCTTGATGTTAAGAGATAATTTGCGAGAGGGAAGAGGCGAAATTTATATCGCCAAGGGGCTTACATGGGGTTTAATCCAGCACTGGGCCAGTACAAGCACGGCAACTATATTCTGGCGCAGCATAAGATGCACAACGAGAGCGAAATTCAGAAATATATCACGTGATAATTCTGACTTACAAATAATGTTTACGTAAGACACATGATGACTGTCTATACACAACTGGCGGTAAAACCAAAATAATGGACAGCTTCCTCTTTCAAAGATAAAAAGCAAATATTTCTTTTTCTGATCGAAAAAAGGACATAATTGTATAAAACGTTTTATTTACAGACAAGTAACCGCTACACAATAATCTGAGTAGCAGAGGTGACTGATATAACGATTAGTAAAACATATTAATATTTCAAATTTGGCTTTAAGAGATATCGTTGTGTCTAAATAGGTATACGGATTCTAATGGACGCGTTGAACTCCATACACTCCAGATCAGGTGCTCTATGAAACGTAGATAAGAACAACCACGAGGTTAGTCAATCTCGGATCTCCGGTGTAACCACGTGTGAAATTTTTGTCGACTGCATTAAGTTAGGCCATGTACTTGCGATAACAATAAGGATACATCACTTACTCTCTGGACTGCGTAAAAGTACAGGTAAGTAATCCAATGTTGTGAATATTTTCCCTTCAGCAGTTACTTAAAAACTCAATACGTTTGACAGGATGATATCTTCCGTCAATATGTACTTAATTATGGTTTGTAGTGGCACACCAATTGTTATCGTTGATTGAGGAACTATTGATAACTTTTTTTTAATTTTTTATTCCGGGTTCAAAAATCTGTATTGTACATGGACCATCAATTGCCGCATTCCTTTTGATAACGCAGTGTTAATATGTCGCGAATTTGTATCCATTATTTATTCCTTTGAAACTGCCTCAGCAAATTCTCATATAATGATAACTATAGCTGAAACATTCAGTCCGGCGCACCGATATGACCTGTATGTGCTTTACTTATTTGTTACTTACCTATGACATTCACCCACCTTCCAGATTTATATTCACCCCCCCCTTCATTTTAAAACAAAATGCAGCAAGGATAAAATCGAGATGCATAAAAATAGTCTTTTCATTTATCAATTTATATTTCCTAACCTGATTTTCGGCAATGAGTCCCAAGCGCTGTCGTTATGTATATTTAATTTTAATTGTTTGTTTAATTTGCTTTATTTCATTTCATGCCATTGTAATGTAACAGTGTATGGTGGCCTTGAATATGTCCAAAACTGAGTTCATTTCTTCTTGACCAGATTGTTTATTTTTAATATATTTCATTTATGTAAATAACTAATAAAAACTTCATTATTCTCAATGTGCATAAAGGAAGTATCAGGAATTTTATTCACGTAAACAAGGACTAAATGTGTTAATTTAAATCGTGGTTTTGGAGTTTCCTAAGTGAATTTAGAGGTTATTGTGTTGTAAGTAAAGAAGGCTCATTTTATAATTTTTTTTCTAATTAGGAATTTTTGGGCAGGGGGAATGCTAATTGTAACCCGAGATCAAGCAGAGGACTAAATATTCCTGTGACTTAGGATTTTACCATTCGTGCTTTAACATCTAACACTTAAGTTGTATTACAGGTTGTAAACAGTTTGGGATGAATTTTCTTTTCTTTAAATTATTGAATTCAGGAAATTATGTTCTCTGGAATTAAAATAGTACTCTGATAAAGTTCTTGGATAGGAAATTAGCTGGAATTTATAATACATTAAACTTAGATTTATATTACTGTGATTCTACAAAAGACTTGACACATCAGCACTACAAAAGCTAGAAAGACACGTCACCGCCTTCAGTTTTCGATTTTTCATGACTTGTACTTAGTTTTATGTAAGACTTTAAATTATTAGGACAAGTATCTGATCTAATTATGGGATTATTTTGGGATTTAATTCACAATAGTATAAGTTCGTTTTCCTCAATTTTATATTTTATTCTTGGAAAATAAATTATTTATGAAGTTTTACAACGCTTGTTTTTGTTCACTCTTTTGTTTATTTTAAGAGCATAAACTCGTAACACTCAAATTTTTGACATTTCGAATCAAAACGAGTTTCGTTTGTGACCGTCGCCTTGAACGAGTCTTTTGTTTACAAGCACAAAAACAAATCTGATGTTCAGTCTTTGACAATCTCGATAATTCGGTACATTTTGGGGATTTACATCTCATGGAACATGTATACAAGAGTTGTTCATTTTGATTTGTTCATTTATTTTTAAAAATAAATTTAGACATGACCAATATTGGATGCAGAACACGCGGACTTACGGAAATGGAATGTTCTATCATACAAAGTCACACAGCTCAAGCACAGCGACTCGTTACAAATAAAATTAGGAGTATCTATATCAATGAACAGAGGGCTAGTGGTCTAACCTGAAACTCGTTACAGATAAGATTAGGAGTAATCTTCAAATAATATAATGCTGGGGGTCTAATATGTAGCTCGTTACAAATAAAATTAGGAGGATCCGTCAATATAACAATATATTGTTACATGTTAGATTCCACCCTCCATTCGTTGACGGATACTCCTAATTTTAATAGTAACGTGCTCCTGTGAGCTCATGCACGCGTCTAAGTCACGTTTTGCAGCTACCGGTGTCATTTTGGAGAAACATATACATTAAAATGCGTTTATTAATTTTATTTCGTATTTTGTCCATTGAAGATTGTTGTTAAAAAAATTCCTAGAAATATTTTTAACAGGAAATTCAATGATAACTTACTTTGACGCTTTTAGGCATAGCTAAGCAAGTAAGGTAATTTTGTTTAAACCATGTTTGCTCAAGAGGGTTTTAAAAGTGGTTCCACAAATATAAATAGAAACGCGATAAGACAATAAAGCTGTTATAAACAAAGTCTGTGGAAACACCGGCAGGAAAAAAATCGACACATAAGTCCAATAAATAGGACGCATCTATGAAACTTCGTTTATATATTCTGTATGGTATGTCATACATATTGTTTTAATTCATACATAATACCTCTTTTTAGCAGACTTGTTTGTTCTCTATTCACGTAAAGAGTAGAGAGATGGCTGTCAATTCGGATTTTATTTTTAGTTAAATTTTACATCATGCTAAATTATCATTTTCAAAACAATATCATATGCACATGTTACGAATAAAACTTATTTTATATTACTCTTCTGACCTATTCATACGAGAGACGACTGAAGACGCACGCGTATACTTGATTCCTCCTGTTAATAATATCTCAATACAATATCAACTTTCTTGACCGAGAGGACTTCCAATGTAAAAACCCATATGCCTAGACTGATACATGAAACGTTTAAATAGCTATGCGAATACCATCCAAGACTAGATGCAATATACTGCTTTTTCATAAATTCTCGAGCGTAGATATTCAGGGGAGGCAATAATGTAAAATTTCTCTTTAGTTATCAGTCTGTTGTTTTTGGTTTATACGCTAATGCATGATATATACGTTGTCCACTGGTGGATGAAGAATCGGGAAGAAATTCCCACCGATCGGAATCTTCAGTCGAGCTTTTTCGAATGCACTGCTCCGTGAACTTAGTGGTAAGAGCGTCCGCTTCGGATGCCAGAGCTCGCGATTTCAAAACCCGGCCAAGTCATACCAAAGACTTATAAAATGATACATACAGCACCCACTCTACGTGAACAAGAGATTAGTGTTAGGACTGGTCGGCTTGATAGCAGGATAACGTGACTTCGTGCAACAAAATTATACATGTCTGAGGCATGACGCTCCAGTGTTAGACATCACTATAAGCTGCCACACTGCAGACATCGTTACGATATGACTGAAATATTGTTAAAGCTAAGTTAAAAATCACACACACACACACACTTTCTCACATACCCAAGTTGGCCGAAAAGGGCGAGTGCCTTAGACCATTGGGCTGCCCGAGTCTCTTCAATCTGTTACATAATGTTTAGTTATGGTCCTGCTGTAATTTCACTAGCAACAGATTAAGAAGAAAGAATACATTGGAGCAATTTCAAACGAAACCCAGACCAACCCACCCCCACAAAATATAAGTTTAATACGATGGGGACATAGGCCCTGTATCGACTGCTCCATTTGCTCCTCCTTTAATACAACCTGCCATACCCCTTCAGTTTTAATATCTGCACTTGCATTAGTTCCATTCTCTTAGTATATTACCACTAACTCGGATCTAGCATTACATAATATATTGTAAGATCGCTATTGCCTGGATAAAAAGGTTTGCACCTAGTACGTATTGTACCGTAAGTTGTTTGTAAGGGAACTATACTAATTTCATCATTTTCAAATGCACCAAGCTAGAACTGTGGTAATTTGTCGGTTCTGTTTTCCAATGTGTGCAGCATCTGGATGGATCCGCGAGTATACATATTTCTTTCATAACTATGTGCTGTTGTTTGTTTATTCATCTGATGCTGAAAGTAATTACCAATGACGCAGAATAATTACATACGCAGAAATTTCATTTACGAGAGTTACATGGTTTATCTAGATGA